GACGGTAATTTTCATCATAGATATACCTCAACTATGAGAGACAAAATGAGAAAAAAAAAATCCAGAAAATCACATTGTCTGATGTTTAAAGAATTTAAAAATCAGACAATGTGATTTTCTGGATTTTTTTTTTCTCATTTTGTCTCTCATAGTTGAGGTATATCTATGATGAAAATTACCGTCCTCTCTCATCTTTTTAAGTGGGAGAACTTGCACTATTGGTGGCTGGCTAAATACTTTTTTGCCCCACTGTATATTCGTGGCCAGGTCCATTGGTTTTCTTTTGAACATTCACCGATTAACATAAAAAAAAAACTGGATATGCATGCATATTATTTCAGGTTTCCTGCCCCTAGTTCCTTTAAACACAACTTCAGAGGCACTGTGAATGTAAAATAAAAGATTATGACTCATTTAAAGATAAAAAATACTTATATTTTGTTACAGGAGTCAGGAAACCCATATACTGATTCAAAATAATTAATTACAAGATATAAAATATCAAAACTTTACTGGGGATTTGAGAATACAGAGTAGAATGTTGAAGGGGGTATGATCCAATGCAGGAGAATTGATCAGCTGTAAAATGGAACGGTCCAGTCTTCAGTTAATGGCCCGCCCTAACCTCAGCTCTTTGGTCAGCTATTAACTGTGACAGCATGAGGCATGCCAGTGAGGGCCTCCACCTTCTCGTGGTTAACATCCTTTATCCTATCGTTAATAAATTAGATTGATTTTATTAAAAATTAGATCATCTACACCCCTCTAAATGAAATTGGATTATGGTTGGATCCAGAGGTGTCAAGTAACAAAGTATAAATACTTTGTTACCTTACTTCAGTGGAAATTTTGGCCGACTGAATTTCAAACATGTTTGATTTTCTCCCAATCTTACAATTCCTGAATGGGAGGAGGTCGTCAGAGGCTAATTGCCCCTCGTTAGCCCCTGTATAAAATACTATGAGGCTGAAACTTGGCCGTTTGAAAAAATTCTTCCACGACTGGATAATCGGCCCAAGAAGGGCAAAAAATCTTACAGTATATGCCCAGGTTAACTGGTCAGGTCTCGGTTCTGAACTCTACGGGTACAGGTGGATACAGTTTTGAAAAATCAGACCTGTGCAGGACTTTGATCTATACTTTACTGGAGCAAACTGGAGTTTTTTATTCAACTTTTTACTTTTACACGTTAAAGATTTTTTTATAGTGGCATCTGGCTGTTTTTTTAAAGGTTACTTTATACTTTAAATAGTTTTTGGAGCACATACTTTTTCACTTTTACTTGAGTAAAGAGGTCAAGTTGACACTTCAACTTTTACCAGTGTTTTTAAACTGCAGTATCTATACTTCTACTTAAGTAACAAATGTGTGTACTTTTGACACCACTAATGGAGGCTACTCTCCTTTAAGGAAGTCAGCATTTTGTGAACATCGTCTTTTTTCCATTATCCACATAAGGCAACACACAATTGGCTGCAGGAACCAGTTGACCAGTAGAACAGGATCTATTTCCTGTTTAGGAAATGCCCAGCTCACTTTTTTCTAAAAGTGCTGAGAAACACTAAACGTGATCTTTATGCCACTGCCTGGATAAGGAATAAAGTTCATTGTAACAACAAAGAGCTAAAGGAGTAACAAGAATTCAGAAAAAAATAACCTAAAGGAAACATTCAGATTTTCTTTTTAAAACTACAAAGACTACAAAATTTTAAATCAACGATGTATGTGAAACATTTAGTTTATTTTTACAGCACAAATTCATAACAAATGTCATGAGAACACATTTTGCAAGACAAGCAACATAATATTTTAATCAAAGGAAACCCAGAATACTTACCAGTAATTCTTTTTACAATTTCCATGTTCCTTCAGTCGTCTTTACAGGTGTTTAAATTGTTCCCTTATGTTATGACCTGGTGTCAAATGGCTCTGTTCTTGAGTTCAATTATATATATATTTCTCAGCTGGTTACCTCCCTCTGGGTGGAGTGTCAGTGTGATGGGGACTGTGGCAAGCTGATTTAACATAAAATCAGCTTTACTACATTTGCATTGAAGTTATCTGGAATCAGTTTTTGACTAGACATATACGTTTACTAAGATATCTGTATTTATATTTTGACTAGGCAAAATACTAATTTCAGATTTCTCTAATTCAATTCTGACTAGTCGTCAGATTTACCATTCATTTCTAGGGATTTCTCCAGTTTAAGATATCTGCCAAGCATTACTGACTATCTAAAAGGTATATTTCAGATATCAACAATTGAATCATGACTAGTCAATGGAATTTGAGATATCTTGCTTTATGTTCTGACAAGTCATTGATCAAATGAAAGATAATTCAAGATTTCTTTAATGTATTTTAAAGTATCTTAAAGCAGAAATTGACTAGTTGGAATTAAATAGCAGATATCTTGAAAGCAAATAATGATTAGACAAATGAACATTAAAGATATCTAGAATTGTATTTTTGACCAGTCAAAACTCCTTTGGAGCTACATAAAAATAACTAGAGATATCTTGAACATTTTTTTTTAAATGTAGACAGACTTTGTATTTCAGATATCTTGAATTATCTTTCTGACATAATTCAAAATGACGTAGCATTTTTGGCGGACAGTTAACAAAGGCATCTTAGCCTTACTGGTGTTTGCTAGTCAGTGGTCTGTAATGATATGTACAACATGAATTCTCTGGTTATTTAAACAACCTTTAGTGCTGCAGCTCAGCAACTGGTTTGGAATTACAGAAAATGAGGAGGAGTGTGTCTTAGAGGGTCACCTTCTGCCCATAGGTTGGTTAGCAGCCACCATCAACAAACCAAGCACTCATGAGAAACAGCTGTTTTCAATTTTTAAGATATTTTTAAAGACAAAAGTTGGACTTTTCTTCAAAAGCTTCCAGGTCATGTGACCTACTGATTCAAATACTTTGTGAAATTGTTTTACTACATTAGTTTGATTAGGCACACTCATTTTTATTCCATTTTAAGCTTTTGCTAATTTTTAAACATTCTTTTTAATAAAAAATGTGATATTTCTTCAATACTGTAGATTCCAAAGTTTGCATTTCAGTTGCACAGTGGGCAGTTCCAGCTGTCTTTCTTTGCTTTCTCAAATTTAGTGCTCTTTATTTCAAGGCACGGGACATGGAACCACCTGTCACAGCTGTCACACTGGATCTGTTAAAATACAACAGAAAAGATACATGTTCAGTTCTATAGTTATACAGTATATGCTTATCTCCTGTCACCAGAGATGGCAAAAGTACTCACTTTCCGTACTTGAGTAAAAGTACAGATACTTGTGTTAAAAAATACTCTGGTAAAAGTGG